CTTATCATCCAATTACTATTGGGTGACCAGGAAGTGACCACAAATTATCAGGTGCAGTTACTCTCAACATATTCTCTAAAAGGATACATTATTTGCCCTTTACAAATCAAACATACAAGACTGAAACAGACATAGGAAAATGCAGTGAACACACCTATTTTAGAGAGCCAAAAGATAGTAAATGACACCTTTTGCCTAGTTGCACTCCTGAAAGAAAGAGGGGTCATCAGCAGCTCTACTAGAGCCACTCATAAATGCAGCCTGAGTTCTCACTTGTCTCACGTCTGCTCAAACCAGCTCAGTCTGTTCCTAATATACTGCCACAATATGTGCCCCCACTGTTTCCATAAGTACTTAAAGAATATACATTTTATTAAGTTGGAATAAGAGGTCTTCCTTGAATGGATAACCAAGGCATCCACCCAATGAAAGAAACCATGTTGACTCTTGGTACATGAGTTAAAAATTCAAACAAACAAGCAAACAAACAATAACAGAAAAGAAAATAGACTGCAGTCATGGATCATATCATTGAGGAAACCAAAGAGACCCCGATTTGCATTTTCTCTGGGAATGTTTCCCTGCAGCAATTGGCTTCATCCTCCATTCCTAGCTTCTTGGCACTTCTACCAAGATGGCAGAATGACAGCCCATTTCCCTCTATACGAGCTGTGATTATCTGCTTCATAGTGCAAATGGAGAACCACTAAGGAGAAGGTAAACAACATACTCCCCAAAAGTCAACCAAGGCAGATTGAAGAGGGTCTCTTTAAATAGCCTCTTTTTCTCCTGGGCCCATCTCAAAATCATTTTGATCATCATCATCCTCTCTTCCCATGTTAATTGCCACAGCTCATTCAACTCCAACCTCACTCATGGGTATGTCTCTCTCTGTATTGCTTCTTTAACCTAACATACAGATACCTTGAGGTGTCAATGCACAGTGAATTACACTCTTCATGCCTCTCTTCCTTGTTTCTTTCCAGTATGGACTGAAATTTCCTCTCCTCTGATTGGAAACTCTCAAGTTCTCATTAGGTACACTCTCCTCCTTACACCATCCCTGTCACAGTCTTGGTCACTTCTTTATTTTGATAATGGATTATAGACCCCATTACAAGCATGAAATTCATTTCTTGGGGAATTAGATAATTCTTGCTGTGAGCGGATGAAGATTGTCCTGGAACCCATGACTTCCTGAGCAGAAGATGAGTTTGATTTCTTATGTGCTTGCCCAGGTGACACCCATTTTATTTGAATAATTTACAGAGTCCTACATACTAGCCTTGCAACACATACAGTGACTCCCCTTTCTTGATTGATATTCACCAGCTCATTTTAGTTCACGTGGGCCATTTGTTACACTCATTTTTATCTCAATACTACCCTTTGATCATGGTGGCCAGGATGACATCCCAGATACAAAGAGAGGACAGAGAGTTCAAAAACCAATGTTTGGCAAAGAATTTTTTTTTTTAATCGCCTCCGGGGACCTACTCAAAATCTTTTGCATGCTCTACAACCCAAATTCCTGATCTTCTCCCAGCGAATATGGCATTGCTGAAAACACAGAAAGTCATTTCTGGACTCCAAAGCCTTCATTCTCAAAGGTCTTTGGGTATTTCAGTTTTTGTTGGAGCCTTTCACAGAATAAATCTACTCTGTGATAATATGGTCCTTGATGCTCAAGTTCCTCAAAGCTGGTCCCCCCGTGGCGCTGTCCGTGGTGCTGAGCACCGGTGCATTCGGCCCTGTGTTTTCAAGTGAGGGGCCAATGTGACAGAGTAAGAGAGGAATGTTTTTGTTTTGTTTTGTTTTGTTTTGTTTTGTTTGATAGACCATAGTCAAAATCTCCATGATGAATGAAGCAGAGCTTCAGCTTGGATTTTCAAACCACAATTTCTGCAGCGTCCTCTCTCACTACTCCTATTCAATATAGTATTGGAAGTCCTGACCAGAGTAGTCATGCAAGAGAAAGAAAGGGCATCTAAATAGAAAGAGATGTCATACCAGCCTTGTTTGCAGATGTCATAATTTTGTATCTAGAAAACCCCATAGTCTCAGCCCAAAAGGTCCTTAAGCTGGTAAACAACTTTAGCAAAGTTTCAGGATACAAAATCAATGTGCAAAATCACTAGAACTCCTATATGCCAAAACAGCATATAGGAGTAGGGCCAAATCAGAAATGCAATTTTATTTACAATGCCATAAAAAGAATAAAATTCCTAAAAATACAGCTAACCAATACCTAAAAATACAGCTAACCAATGAGGTAAAAAGTTGCTACAATGAGAATGGCAACACACTGCTCAAAGAAACCAGGGATGACATATAAAAAAATGCAGAAACGTCCCATGCTCATGAATAAGAAAAATGAATATCATTAAAGCAGCCATACTGCCCAAAGAAATTTACAGATGCAGTGCTATTTCTATCAAACTATAAATGACATTCTTCACAGAATTAGGGGGAAAAAACTATTTTAAAATTCACATGAAACCAAAACAACCAAATAACCGAAGCAATTCTAAGAAAAAGGACAAAGCTGGAGGCATCATATTACCCAACTTCAAACTGTACTACAAGGCTACTGTAATTAAAACAGCATGGTATTTGTATGAAAACAGACTTAAACAGAATGGAGAGCCCAGAAATGAGGCCATGCACCTACAACCATCTGATCTTCAACAGAACTGACCAAACAAGAAATGGAAAAAGGACTCCCTATTCAAGAAAATATGTTGGGAGAACTGGCTAGCCATATAAAGAAGATTGAAACTGGACCCCTTCTTTACACCATATTAAAAAAATCAGCTCAAGATAGATTCAAGGCTTAAATGTAAAACCCAAAACTTTAAAAACCCTGGAAAATAACATAGGCAATACCATGCAGGACATAGGTGTGGTCAAAGATTTCATAATAAAAATGTTAAAACCAATCACAACAAAAGCAAAAATTGACAGACAGGATCTAATTAAACTAAAAAGCTTGTGCACAGCAAAGGAAACTATCAAGAGAGTAAACAGACAGCCTATAGAATGGGAGAAAATATTTGCAAACTATGTATCTCAAGAAGGCCTAATATTCATCATCTATGAGAAACTTCAACAACTTTACAAGAAACAAACAAACAAACCCATTTTTTAAAAAAGTGGGCAAAGGGCTCAGCACAGTGGCTCATGTCTGTAATTTCAGCACATTGAGCAACCAAGGCTGGTGGATTGCTTGAGCCCAGGAATTTGAAAACAGGCTGGGCAACATGGCAAAAACCAGTCTCCACTAAAAATAGAAAAATTAGCCTGGCATGGTGACATATGCCTGCAGTCTCAGCTACTCCAGAGGCTGAGCTGGGAGGATCACCTGAGCCCAGGAGCCAAAGGATGTAGTGAGCTGAGATGGCGTCACACCACTCGAGCCTGAGTGTCAGGTGAGACCTGGTTTTAAACAACAACAACAACAACAGAAGGTGAGCAAAGGACATGAACAGACACTTTTCAAAAGTAGACATACAGGTGGCCAACAAGCATATTATAAAAACTCAACATCACTGAACATTAGAAAAATGCAAATCAAAACCACAATGCGATACCATCTCACATCAGTCAGAATGGCTCTTATTAAAAAGTCAGAAAAGTACAGATGCTGGCAAGGTTGTGGAGAGAGGGAGCACTTACATGTTTGATGGCAGTGTAAATTAGTTCACCCACTGTGGAAAGCAGTATGGTGATTCCTCAAAGAGCTAACAACAGAACTACCATTCAACACATCAATCCCATCCCTGGATATATAACCAGAAAAATAGTAATCATTCTGCCATAAAGATATATGCACATGGATGTTCATTGCAACACTATGCGCAATAGCAAAGACATGGAATGAACCCAAATGCCCATCAAGAACAGACTGGATATGGAAAATGTGGTACATACACCCAGTGGAATACTATGCAGCCCAAAAAATTAGTTTACGTCTATTGCAGAAACATGGTTGGAGATGGAGGCCATTATTCTTAGCAAACTAATGCAGGAACAGAAAACCAAATACTGAGTGTTTTATAAGTGTGAACTAAATGATGAAACTCATGGAAACCAAGAGGAGACCAACACACACTGGGGCTTACTTGAGGGTAGAGGGTTAAAGGTGGGACAAGAGCAGAAAAAAATAACTATCGGCTACTATGCTTAGTACCCAGATGAAAAAACCATATGCACCATAAACCCCATGACACAAATGTATCTTCATATGTACCCCTGAACTTAAATAAAAGTTTTAAAAAATGAAAGAGAAAAACCAATCTCATTTTTCTCCCAGAATCCGCAGGAAAAACAGTGTCTCTGAAACTTTGATTTACATGAACAAGGGAAAAGAGAGGGTGTACTTAGAGCCCAGGTGTGTGACAGACAGATGAGAGTGGCCCTCATCTGGCAGAACCGAGGCAACTAGCGTGGGGCAGGTTCATGAAAGAACTTTCTCTACTTCTCTCCCCAGATCCTCCTGAGGATCAAGGTCAGTGCTTTCCCAGAACCTTCAAAGGCAAAGAGAATTACTTTCTAGGGCAAATGTCTTTCTCCAGAATCCCCAACTTTTTTTTTTTTTTTAGCCATTGTACAAATTGGGAAAATGTACACTTTCTGGGTAGATTCTGCATAGTGGAGAAAAGGCTTGAGAGGCAGAAAGGGTGGGCTTTACAATCACTACCCCTCACTCCATCATCCTTATTGATGCATTTCACTGGTAACCCAATCCACAGCCTGGTACCTCCCACTGTCATTTCTGCTGCATTACAGACACAAACCTGCAAACAGATATGGTTGTGACTGAGTTTCTTCCCTGACCCCTGAGCCTTTCTCATGCTACAAGGAAAACTCTCTGGGAGGAGCATGAAATCTGCAATAAAGCCAGAGGGCAGGGCTGAAAGGGATCATTTAAACGCTGCAACTCAGAGATTCACACAGAAGACAGGACAGAATTCCGAAGAGTCGCTCAGAAGAAGAGAACAATGCCACCACTACCGGTGAGTTGAAAAGGCACAGTCTTCAATAATCTCAAATAACATAAACCAGGAAAGAAACAGGGGAGATTTTATGAGATGAAAATGTGAGCATTCCTACTGTGAATGCTTTACTGAGGGCTGTGGGTTTTGGAAGAGAAACTCTCAGGCTATGGTATCTGAGATGCTTGTGGGGTGTGGGGTGTGGACCCTGGACCAGTGTAACCCTCTGTGAGCATGTGATGGTGTCTGATGAGAGTGAACTCTGCTGAGATGATGTGACTTTAGGTGGGAGGTGGACGGCCAACCAGGATGTGCAGGTGTGTGTGTGTCTAAGGGGGTGAGTGTGCTTTGTCTTCCTGTCTGTGATGTGTGTGTGTGTGATCACTGCCAGACCATTGCATGAGCATCTTTATGTGCATGGGGAGCAGGTGCATGTGACTCAGTGAGTGACATGGTTCTGTTTGTCTGTGGGTGTGGGTGCTGGGATGTGACTGGGTATTGAACTGGGGACATGCATGTGGCCTTCTGTGCATGTGAAGGTGCTTCCCCACAGAGCAGCACCTCTGATGAAGCAGGTGTGTGTCCGTTCATGTGTGTCAATGGGGATTCCAAGTGGCTTAACTGGTGGGGCTCTTGGGGATTGTGAGTTACCAAGGCCTCATTACAGATCACTTATGAGAGTGGAATGTATGATCAGTAGATGTCTTTTCCCAGTAAGAGTGAGGAAGAGGAATGCAGACTAGGGGGTGATGGTTCCTAAGGTGGGGACTATACAGAGTGATCACTGGCTTGTGCCTCCCAGGCTCAGCTTCCCTATCCCAGCCCAGTCTGTTCTTTGCATTGTGGGACAAGAGAGTTTGCAGATACTGATTTGCTAGGGAAGGACATTAGAGGCTGTGATTTCAGAAACTGATTGAAGCTAAATATTCACTGTAATATTTTGTCTCAACTGAGACTAAACTTATTCCTCCACCCATGAAGGAACAAGTTTACTCTCAGTTCAGACAGAGCTTACAGTGGATATTAATCAACCAAGTAGCTGCATTGAGTCTCATGGCTATAATCCCACCGATTTGGGAGGCCAAGATGGGAGGATAACTTGAGGCCAGAAGTTTGAGACCACTCTGGGCATCATAGTGAGACCCTTTCTTTTAAAAATTGTAAATATCAGACTGGTAGAGTGACAGGCACTTTTCACCCTAGCTACTCCAGAAGGGGGCAGGTGTGTGAGGATCACTGCAGCCCAGGAAGTCGTGGTTTCAGTGAGCTATGATTGCACCATTGCATGTCAGCCTGGGTGACAGAGCAAGACCCTATCTCAAAAATACAGAAAAATCACCAACCACTTGTAGTCATCGTAGAAATCAATCATTCTCTCCAGTATGTCCCTGACCCACAGGCTTCATTTGTGCAAGTCCTGGGGCTATGCTCTCAGCAATGTGTCCCCTTCTGGGAAGGACGTCCATTGCCCTTGATGATTGTGATGCATGTGCATCCCACACACAGGGGTTTCCTGTTCTTTTATCATTTACCTTTCTCTTTCAACAAGTGTTGTTTCTCACTGGTGTCAGTTTGTTAAATTCTTACATCCTCAAGTCTTGTTTTCATTTTCCAAGGTGAAAATGAAGGCAGGTCAGTGTTTCAGGAGGACTCTCCTGTTCTGCTATGTCACCCCTAACACACCCTACACATGACAGGGATTAGGGTAAAAGTTTTGCATATATTAACTGCTCTGTTACTGAAAACACCCTACAAAGTAGAAATTCCCAATAATTCTCCTTGTTCTGGGGAAACTGAGGCAGGGAGAATTCAAGTAGTGGATCTAAGATTGCACTGCTTGTAAGAGGCAGAATGAGGACCGGAATCCAGGCATCCTGGCTCCTGAACTCTTGTTCTTACCTATGGGTCCACTATCTCTTCAGGAGTATGAGGCCCTGACTGTGGAAGGGTGAGAGGGGGAGGCCTCAGAGTCTGCCCTTTGATCTCTAACCTCCTGCACCACAGGAATCTGTTACAGGAGGGGAGGCTGCACCTGACCCTGCACCTCTCACTCACCCTCAATACCTTGGCAGGTGCCATACATACAGCCTCTGTCCTTGTGTTTTGGTTCCTGCGTGATAATCAGAGGGAGACCGAACTTCTCTTTTGTGTGAGTATAACATGGTCCAATGAAGGGGGTGGAGGGGAAGGGAAAATATTTGCTAAGAACTTGACGTTATGTGTGATGTGGAAATGTCTAGTTGGCAAGATGGAGGCCCTATGCAGGTGCAGGTCCTGGAGATCCTTCAGCACCAGACATTAGACCTGCAGCAACTGCATGTGGGCCAGCCATGGGACCTAGGGGAAGAGGCCTCTCAGTTGGTTGGAGTTGGAGCCCTTCATCAAGGGGTATATAATTTTCAGGGAATGAACAAGTCATAGGCCCAGGTAAATGACTGTGGCTCAGTTTTCATCTGGGAATGAGGAGCACAGCATCTTCCTAGCTGGGGGCACGAGGAGCTGAAGCATCCCCACGGGGACCAGGCCTGCAGTATCAGTGAGCTATGACTTTTGCCCTGAGTAAAGTGTGGAAGTGATTTGTGTGTGTGTCAGGTGTGTGTCTGCATAAGAGGGGGACATTCCAAAATGCTGTGTGCTTTGCCCTCAGCAATGACCCACAGCTGCAGGTGGATTTCTGCACTGACACGGATGGAGACTCAGGAATAGCCTTCCATTTCCGAGTGTACTTTGGCCGTTGTGTGGTCATGAACAGTCGTGAGTGTGAAGTGTGGAAGTGTGAAGAGAAATCCGACCATGTGCCTTTTCAGGATGGCATGCCATTTGAGGTGCACATCTACGTGCGTCACGATGAGTACCAGGTGAGCGCCCCAGGAGCTCCCAGCACCCGGCCTCTATGGGTCCCCAGAGCAGGAGGCAGCTCTTATTGACCTGGCCCCACCAGTTCCTCAGAACCCGTCTCCCATAACTAGTCCTGCCTCAGGTTTTCATCACAGAGCACCCTCTGCTTGCACCGCCATCCTCAGCTAGTTCCCAAATCTGATCGAGGTCAAGGTCGGCTCACCTGACATTTCCCCCAGTAGAGAATCTCCTCTGTCTTTCCCCCTAGTGCTCATTTCTACTTATGCCATTATTTAAATTTTCATTTTAGCTGAATGAATACAGTATACTTAAGAAAAAAGTTGTTTTAATCATTCAAAAAGTAAGTCTTCATTCGTCTCACTTTTGAGACCCAATTGTACTCATAAGAGCAGCATTTCCAGAGCTCTGCTCTCCTTCAAAGAGAATCTTTTTTCCTTCCTTTCCTTCGTTCCTTCCTCCCTCCCTCCCTCCTTTTTTTCCTTCCTTCCTTCCTTCCTTCCTTCTTCTTTCTTTGTCTTTCTTTGGACAGAGTCTCACTTTGTCATCCAGGTTGGAGGCAGTGGCATGATCTCAGCTCACTGCAATCTCCACCTCCCAGATTTAAGCAATTCCCTTGCCTTAGCCTCCCAAGTAGCTGGGATTACAGGTACTTGCCACCATGCCTGCCTAAATTTTGTATTTTTAAAAGATAACGGGGTTTCACCATGTTGGCCAGGCTGGTCTTGATCTCCTGACCTCAAGTGATCCACCCACCTCGGCCTGCCAAAATACTGGGATTACAGGAATAAGCCACCATGCCCAACCCTTCAGAGGAAATCTTTGCCCATGTAAGCATATAGATATGTCTATAACTTTATCTGTTGTAAAGCAAATTCTTATATAAGTTGCTCTACACATTATGCTTTAGGAACTAAGTGGATTCATTGTCAAAGAATATATCTTGAAGACATTATCAATCCATGGTGATGCTTCAGTTTTTAAAGATTGCATAATATTGCACTAAAAATTTTACCCAAAATTATTGAAATTGACCCTTTTTTGGGCATTAAAGTTGTTTTCACTATTTTGCTCTCACAAATAATGCTGTATTAAGCTTTCTAATCAATCTTTTTGTCATTAGTAATCTCCAAACACTTATGTTGGAAGATATTTATTAAAAAATGAAAAAACTGGTTCAAAAATGTGTGCATTTTAAATGTGAAAAAATTAATACTGGTAAGGTGATTATAAAAAATATATCCATACTTTCTGGCTTTCTCTAATAAGTAGGCCAAAAGATTTGCATTTTATTCGGATTCAAGTGAGGGATCTTTTCCTATGCTTAGAAGTGGTTGAAGATAATATCCTATGTTTTACAACACCTGTCCTCTTTTAGCTCTCTAAGAACACTGGGTTTCATTCTTTGCCACTACCACCTCACATGTAGGCTACTCCAAAGAGGAACTGTGCCATCAGTAGTAAAAGGCAGTCACAGTTCATGGAAGTGAAAAGTATGCATTCAATGGACATGGTCTAGCACTAACCCTGTGGCAGGCTCTGTGCAAGATACAGGGTCTCAAATTCCTGTCACAAAGTCCCTGGTGATGGGCATCTTCTAGGTCAGAAGGGAAGTTGAGTAAACAGGAACTGTGTGACATAGAGTCTAGAACTTCACTAGAGGAAACAAAAAAAAAATAAAGTCAGCAACTTTCTCAAATAGGCACAAAACGTCATCTGTAAACAGAAGTGTGCTTATTAGGTTCACTTGTATAACTAGGAGTTTTCTTGGGGAATATTACTGGTACTAAGGCAGAGTAGAGAGGATGCTGAAAACTTGTTTGGCGGCATACTGTGTTTCTGATGCATTTTTCCTCTTGTAGGTAACAATAAATGGCAAACGCACTTATGGCTTTGGCCACCGACTCCCGCCGTCATCTGTGAAGATGATGCGAGTGTGGAGAGATGTCTCCTTGTCTTCAGTGAGTGTCTACTATTGAAGGAGATGATCACACTCCTCATTGTTGAGGAATCCTTCTTTCTACCTGACCATGGAATTCCCAGAGCCTGCTAACAGAATAGTCTCTCATCACCCTTTCCCCTACAGTTGGTCATTAAAACTGCACCAAACCTCACATGATTTGGTTCTTGCTTTAAGAAGGGGAAAGAGGAAGTGGTCATCCCCAAGAGGGACCAGGGCATTCTAGGGAGACATCATGCAATCAAATGGAATAAAAACCTTCTGGTGACAAAGGAGTGAAGGAAAAGGTCCCTGAATTGTTTGAGAAGACATTAGAAACAGCATTCTTCTATGGGACGTAGTTGATGTCAGACAGTCTGAACCAAAATACTTACTCAATCTCAGATGATTCACGCCACTGAAATGTTAGGTAGCTGTTTACAGCCTGGTGGCTTTGGGAATAAACTGTAATTTGAGGAAAATCATATGGAATTTCTTAATTTTTCCATTGTTCTCAGGATGCTTATTGTGTATAAACACTGTGCCTGGCTTTGTGAGGGCTGCTGTGAATAAACTGAAGAAAAAGATGACAAATTTTGCATATGAAGTTTTCAATTCAAATAATAGAGAATCACTGGAGCCCAGTGATTTCCCTTGAAGAATCCCAGTTATCCTTATGTGCAAATATTTGAAGATTTTTCCATTTTATGTGGGCAGAATACAGGGGTTTCTATTTGAAAATAAATGGTCATGGTTTTAGATCAGAGAACATGTAGATTATTATTGAAATAGACAAAATTCATGCACACGAACATAACAAGCAAACCCTGATTTGCTGCTGTTCCAGTGACTAATTGCAGCATAGCAAACCTTCCAACACATACTGGCTAACAGCAATCATTTATTTTGATATCTCCCAGCTTTAAAGATTTACTGAACTCATGTGAGTGGTAGACCATGTGATGGGAGTCACGTTTTCGGAGGGATCTTTTAGGTTGGGTCCCAGCTGATGCTTTATTTATGTCCAACTCAGCACTAGGGCTGGTTGAACACATGGAAACTGGCTGTTTATCTCCTTCACTACCTCACCTCCCCATTCATGCCTTGAATTTCCTAAAATAACGAAAGTCTCATGGTTCTTGGACTTAATGAATGTGATTAGCCTTCTCCAAGGAAAGCCTTTCAAGAGGCTCATGGAGAAGGTGCACAGCATCAGAGGGCCTACCTCTGAGTAGCAAACATTGTCACTTCTGTAGCATTGCATTGATCAAGGTGAGATACACAGCCCTAATCAAAAGGAGAGGACTCCACAAGCCGTGGTTATTATGACTGTAGTCATGAGGGGCCATCCTTGGCAACTAGTTCCATTCAGTCACAACTGGCTTATATACTTCACACATACCAAAAACACTCACACTGTAAGGAATCTCTGAAGGGAAGACAATTTCAGGAGCAGGCTCGGAGTAAAGTGCAGTATCTTATCTAATCAGGATATACAAGTGGCCAAAAAACATGAAAAAATGCTCAACATCACAAGTGATTAGAGAAATGCCCATCAAAACCACGATGCATTACCACCTCACTCCTGCAAGAATGGCCATCAAAAAGAAAAAAAAAGAAAACAGTGGATGTTGGCATGGATGCGGTAATCAGAGAACACTCCTATACTGCTGGTGGGAATGCAAACTAGTATAGCTGCTGTGGAAAACAGTGTGGAGATTCCTTAAAGAACTAAGAGTAGAACTACAATTTGATCCAGCAATCCCACTACTGGATAGCTACCCAGAGGAAAAGAAGTCAATATCTGAAAAGGATACTTGCTTACGCATGTTTATAGTGGCACAATTTACAACAGCAAAATTGCAGAATGAACCCAAATGCCCATCAATCAATGAATAGATGAAGAAACTGTGGTGTATGTATATACAATGGAATACGATGCTACTATGCAGTCATAAAAAGGAATGAATTAACAGCATTTGCAGCGACCTGAATGAGATTGGAGACTATTTATTTTAAATAAAGTAACTCCAAAATGGGAAACCAAATGTTACATGTTCTCACTGATATGTGGGAGCTAAGCTATAAGGACACAAAGGCATAAAAATGATACAATGGACTTTGGGGACTTGTGGGGAAGAAAGGGAGGAGAGATAAAAGACTACAGATATGGGCTGGGCGCGGTGGCTCAAGCCTGTAATCCCAGCACTTTGGGAGGCCGAGGTGGGTGGATCACGAGGTCAAGAGATCGAGAGCAACCTGCTCAACATGGTGAAACCCCGTCTCTACTAAAAATACAAAAAATTAGCTGGGCGTGGTGGCACGTGCCTGTCATCCCAGCTACTCAGGAGGCTGAGGCAAGAGAATTGCCTGAACCCAGGAGGCGGAGGTTGCGGTGAGCCGAGATTGCGCCATTGCACTCCAGCCTGGGTAACAAGAGCGAAACTCCGTCTCAAAAAAAAAAAAAAAAAAAGGCTACAAATATGGTGCAGTGTATACTACTTGGGTGATGGATGCACCAAAATCTCACAAATCATCAACAAAGAACTTCCTCGTGACCAAATACCACCTGTACCCCAATTACTTGTGTAAAAAATAAACTGAACTAACAAGTTCAAAAAAAACAAACATAAAAGAATAAAATTTCATTATGGACACCAAAAAAAAAAAAAGATATGCAAACAGCCAATAAACATGAAAATGTTTCAACATCACCAATTATCAGGAAATGCAAATTAAAACCACAATGAAGTGTCAACTTACTCCTGTGAGAATGTCTTCTTACTCCTGTGAGAATGTCTTATGCATAGTTTTTGAATATTTTTTTCCACTCCGTGAGTGGTTTTGGGGGGGGTTGTTTTGTTGTTGCTGAGATGGAGTCTCACTGTGTCGCCCAGGCTGGAGTTCAGTGGCACAATCTTGTCTCACTGTAACCTCCGCCTCTGGGCTTAAGTGATTCTCTTGCCTCAGCCTCCTGAATAGCTGGGACTACAGGCATGAGCCACCATGCCTGGCTAATTTTTTGTGTTTTTAGTCGAGATAGAATTTCACCATGTTGCCCAGGATAGTCTTGAACTCCTGAGCTCAGGCAATCTGCCCGCCTCAGCCTCCCAAAGTGTTAGAATTACAGGCGTGAGCCACCTGGCCCCATATGGTAAGCTTTTTTTTTTTTTTTTTTTTTTTTTTTTAAGGTAGAGTCTCACTCTGTCGCCAGGCTCACTGCAACCTCTGCTTCCCGGGTTCAAGCAAATCTCCTGCCTCAGCCTTCCGAGTAGCTGGGACTACAGGCATGCGCACCACGCCTAGCTAATTTTGTAAACTGTTGTATTTTTAGTAGAGATGGGATTTCACCAGGTTGGCCAGGATGGTCTCAATCTCTTGACCTCATGATCCGACTGCCTGGGCCTCACAAAGTGCTGGGATCACAGGCATGAGCCAACGCACCCGGTAAACTTTTTGAGGAATTAACATAATTAAGCTCCTCAGTTACAAGAGGAAGAGAAGGGTAAAGAGAAGGAGGCGAAGGAGGTGAAAGTAAGGAACAGCAGAAGAGAAGTAGGAGAACAGAAAGAGAGCAGAAGGGAAAGAAATTGGGAAGGAAGGAAGGAAGACAAAAAAACAGGGAGCGTACTGAGAAGAGGGGAAAGTCTGTGTGACGCAACAGCAGCCATGAGAGGACAGTTTCAGGTTTCCAGCACCAAAAGCTGCAGTTTTATTGTTGCTGCTGTTGTTTGTGACACAGGGTGTCACTCTGTTGCCCAGGCTGAAATGCAGTGGTGCAATAGCTCCTTGCAGCCTCGACCTCCTGGGCTCAAGTGATCCTCCCTCCTCAGCCTCCCGAGTAGCTGGGACCACGGGAGCGTGCCATTACACCTAGCTAATTATTTTCATTTTTTTGTTGAGAGGACGTCTTACTATGCTGCCCAAGCTGTGCAGTTTTTTGAAAATATGGTAAGGACTGAAACATGATCGTGTAGGGGTGCCTTACAAAGAATTATGTGATTAATGGCCGGGCGCGGTGGCTCAAGTCTGTAATCCCAGCACTTTGGGAGGCCAAGGCGGGTGGATCACGAGGTCAAGAGATCGAGACCATCCCGGTCAACATGGTGAAACCCCGTCTCTACTAAAAATACAAAAATTAGCTGGGCATGGTGGCGCGTGCCTGTAATCCCAGCTACTCAGGAGGCTGAGGCAGGAGAATTGCCTGAACCCAGGAGGTGGAGGTTGCGGTGAGCCGAAATCGCGCCATTGCACTCCAGCCTGGGTAACAAGAGCAAAACTCCGTCTCAAAAAAAAAAAAAAGAATTATTCGATTACATTTTAAAATACGAAGCAGCTCTTGTCACTTGTTTGGAACCTGGGGAAACTTGTACCCGGTGCAAACTCCCCATAAGGGGTCTTTCCAAAAGTGCGCTGCCCATTGGGCACAGGAGGGAGAAGACACGTGCGCCTCCCCATGCACGTTCGCTATCGCACTTATGAATACGCATGCGCATGCGCACGCACCGATACGCATGTGCATGGACTTAAGTGCGCACGCGCGCAGCCATGTCTTGCCGTTTTCCCCGAGCGGCGAAGCTGGTGTTGTGCGACCTGCAGGCAGGCAGCAGTGGCAGGCAGACGGGCGTGACAAATGGCGACAGCGACATTCCTCAGGCGGGGGCAGGCGGCTGTAATCGCGAGCCAGCCCTGGCGCGCGCTGCGGAGCCCGGAGAAGGCCCGGTATCTGGGCAGCACCGTGAGGAGACCCGAAGCCCCGACCCTGCCTGACCGCGGCTCGGGCCCGGCCGCCTTCCCAAGCCCACAGCGGGAGCCCGAAGCCCTCGGGCCTGACTTTGAGCAAGTGCAGCTTTGATTTGGGGAGAGGTGCCCAGCGACCACGCAGCCAGGTAAGAGTGTTTGACAAAGCCACCTAGGTGGTTGTGGACGTGTGCTGCGCGAAGGGTGAAGCCCAGGATGCCAGTTCGCAAACGCGTTAGGCCGGAGTCCATCTGGATTATTTTACATTTATCCAAGATCTTTTTGCCTGTGTCGCTTGGTCGTCTGTCTTCAGAACTCGGCTGCAATAGGTTGAAAGACGCGGAAAAGTGGTGACCTTTACACTAAAAGACGGGCAGCTATTTCCATAGGACCCTGCCATTCTCCTTTGGGCTTGTTTGAGGAAGAATTATTTGCCAGTCCTACAACTAAAACGTTTTTATTCTGGAAAATAAAATGTTCAGTTGTAAAGGAAAGAGAGCAATTATTGCATAGTTGAAAAAAAGTGGGGGGGGGGGGCGGAGAGTATCATAAAGAAACAAAGGAAAAGTCGAATGAATTGTGGGGTCAGGAGGGAGAATTTTCACGCTTCAGAAATCCTCATGGATGTTTTTTGTCCTGGCATTGTCGAAAGTCTCCTTGATGTTTGCCTCACTGAAAACGTTGGTATTGCAAAAATAAAGCTTGACTGAACAACTTGCCAGTACTAGGGTTCATGGGTATTAACAAAGAGGATGAAAGCAAGAACAAGATGACCTAATTTTCTAAACTTACATTTTTAAGTCAAGACCGGAAGAATATTGAAGAACTTTTGAAATTTTAGAGTTTGTCATCCCTTCGTGCAAGGTTAATTTTGTTTCTCAAGGTATTTCAACTGACAGATAAAATCAAAATAGAAAATATGTATTGCATATATTATGTGTTAAAGTGTTTTGAGGAACATCTGAAGTAAGATAAAGATATGTTTTCTTTTAACTTTTAAATTTTAACTTAATTTTTTTTTTATGTTTTGAATAGGTAATACCTTCACAAAGCTCAAAAGAGAAAAGGTGTAAAAGTACAGCAAAAACGGTTTCTTGCCCGTTCCACTACAGCCTTCCAGGTAATTGCAGTTATTACTTTGTTATGTTTCCTTCTAAAATGTCCATACATTAGCAGGCAAATGTCAATGTAGGTTATTTGCCTGCTGTTTTCTTTTATACATATATATATATATATATATATATATATATATCGTTACTGGATTTGTGATAATACAGTATACACACACATATATACACACTATACACACACTAGCTCATGTCTTGATTTTTTTAGTACAATCACAACTTAGAGACCTGTCTAAATGCGTACGTAGAAAGCTTCCCAATTGCCTTTCACAAAGGTGGAAAACTGGTTAAACATACTGTATTTGTATTCCATATGGATTTACTGTATTTTTAACCAGTTATTGACAGACATATGGGCCTTCTTTCCATTTCCTATTACAAAGAGTATTACAGTGAGTGACTTTGTACATCTGAAATATGTGCCAGAAAATCCATAGGGTGAGTTTCAGTCAGCCAAAGGTGATGTGTATTTTTCTTTTTCTTTTCTTTTTTTTTTTTTTTTCTTTTGAGATGGAGCCTTGCTCTGTTGCCCAGGCGAAAGTGCAGTGCTGCCATCTCAGCTCACTGCAACCTCTGCCTCCTGGATTCAAGCAATTCTACTGCCTCAGTCTCATGAGTAGCTGGGACTATAGGCTTGAGCCGCTACGCCTAGCTTATTTTTGCATTTTTACTAGAGATGGGGTTTCCTTATGTTGGCGAGGCTAGTCTCAAACTCCTGACCTCAACTGATCCCCCTGCCTCGGCCTCCCAAAGTGCTGGGATTATAGATGCCAGCTGCTGCACCTGGCCTGTACTTCTAATTTTAATCAATATTGCCACATTTTCATTCAGTGTTTTTGTACTTTGAGCTTTCATCCTCAGAAGATGTGTGTGCCTGTTACCTTACAGCTTAGCCAGTGCACGGTATGCTCAAATTTCTAGAATGTTCCCAATTTGACAGGTGAAAATATCTCAGTTTAGACTCAGTCAAATATCAGTTGATACCTCTAATAGCCATTGCGAAAGTGACCCAACTTTGAAGTTAGAGGAAACAGTTTACAAAAAACTTCACTTCTTATCTCACCTGCAAGTTCAGGGGTCCCCAACACCACTCTTAGGTTCAAGACTTCATTAGATGGACTCCAAGAACTCACTGAAAACTGTTACATTCACAGTTAGCAGTTTGTTACAGGGAAAGGCTGCAGATTGAAATCTGTCAAGGGAAGAAGTACATATAGTAAAGAGTCCAGGAAGGCACAAAACATGGAGCTTCCAGCTGTCCTTGCCTAGCTAATTTTTGTATTCTTGTATTTTTCCTAGAACTGTGGTTTCCCTATGTTGGCCTGAGAGAAGTAGGCAGCTTTATTCCTAGCACCATCAGCCATACCTGGTCACCTTGGTCGAAAACTGAAGGTGAGGAGCCGGCACCCAATTGACAGGCAAGATGAAAAATAATTACTATAATAATTTGTAATAAGGGACATTATAAATATTAAATTAGCATGTATTATTATAATATATGTAATAATTCCCAGCATTTACATAGAGCTCAGTATGTTGCAGCCACTGCAGAAGTCATGTTACACAACAGCACTATGAGGTAGGTGCTCCTATGCCAATTTTATAGCAAAGGAAAATGAGTCACAGAACTATTATGTCACTTGTAGACATTTACACAAGTGAGCCACATACCAACTCCCCAGAATATTCACATGGGAAGGAGCTGAGCCGCAGCAAGAAGGACTGCACTTTTGGCAAAGATAGGAAGAGAAAATATTTTCAGGTCTAATGAAGTGGCCAGTTCATAATTCTCTCTCCACCTCTGCACCCTTGTGAATTTCTACCATGGCTTTCCAGATGACTCCAACATCACATTTTATCCCCTCTCTGAGTGGAAGGCATCCCTTCTAATAGGGAGGTAGAAGAGGGACAGGAGAGTCAGCAGCTTGACCTTGAGTGTGGGGTAGCCACTTGAGCAGAGCTTCCTGAGCTTGAAGAATCACTTGATTGCTGTGGAGATGGGGGAATAGGGAGGCTATCAGGAGAGAAGTAGGTGAGTTGCGTTAATCTTCTAAGGCTGCCCTAACAATACCACCAGTGGGATGGCTTAAACAACAGAAATTTATTTTCTCACAGTCTGGTGCCTGAAAATCTGGGTGTTTTCTGGTGAGGCCTCCCTCAGCCTGCAGATGGCCATCTTCTTGCTGCATGCTTCCATGGCCTTTTCTGTGCACACATGTCCCTGGCATCTCTTACTTACAAGGACACCAGTCGTGTTGGATTAGGGCCTCACACTTAGGACCTCACTGAATCATAATTACCTCCTTAAAGACTCTATCTCCACGTCCATTGACATTGTTGGTTACAGCTTCAGCATAGAAATTTGGGGGTGGGAGAAATACAATTCAGTCCGTAACATGAGCTGAAAAGTGTATGGTAGAGTGCATGCTACCCAGTAAGTGCTCAGAAAATGGGAACAACAGTAATGATTAGTAACGAGTTCATGGAAAAGGAATCAGCACCAGGAACCATAGTAACCAGGGGGACTGCAATTACTCATCTGCCAAATAATAGTAGGTGGTCATTAACAAAATATTTCACCAGTGGATTGGGCTTTGCGAAGACCTCACCCAGATATCCAGCAAGATCTTGTAGCCAGCACCTCTGAAAAGCAGGCTTCTCCTCACTGGATAAAGCTCTTGGTAGCTCGATGGCTGAGGAAAGGTGCTTGGACCCAAATCTTAATGACCCCAAAGTTCAAATTTCTATCTCTATCAGCTGTAGTCTCTGCATAGACCTGTAAGTACCTAAATCCGGACAAGAGGAGGACCAGGGCCGGGCGTGGTGGCTCATGCCTGTAATCCAAGCACTTTGGAGGCCAAGGTGGGCGAATCACCTGAGGTTGGGAGTTCAAGACCAGCCTGACCAACATGGTGAAACCCCGTCTTAAAAAAATAAAGAAAGAAATAATAAAAGCCGGGCGCGGTGGCTCAAGCCTGTAATCCCAGCACTTTGGGAGGCCAAGGCGGGTGGATCACAAGGTCAAGAGATCGAGACCATCCTGGTCAACATGGTGAAACCCCGTCTCTACTAAAAAAATACAAAAAATTGGGTCCCTGCGGCGGGGACTCCACACGGACGACGGCCCACCCCCGGCCGGCGCTTTCGCCCGGCAGCCCGGGGTCGCGGCGGGCGGCGAGGGCGGCGGCTCCCCGCGCCCCTGCCTTACCTTCCCTGTCCTTCTCGTCCGCCATCTTGCTGCGGGGCCGGCCGCCGGGGAGATGCCCAACGACAGCCTCGGCCGCGGGGTCCCGGCCCGCTCAGCGCCCCGCGGCCAGCCCGGCCGGGAGGAGGGGCCGCCCGAGCCGTGGGGGAGGAAGACCCTGGGGCGGGGCGGGGGCTCCGGGCGCGCGCCCCATCCCGGCGTCCCGGCTTCCCGCCACGGCCCTCGCGCCGCCCGGCCCCGGCCGCCCCGTTCCCCGCCCCCCGTCCCGTGGGTGCGACGCGGCGCGCTCGGTGCTTGTTGCTCACTGCGGAGCCGGAAAGGCCGCCGGGGCGCCGGGCGAAGGTGGGGCGGAGGCTGGGCTCCCACGGGGGCGACGACCCGCCCGCGCCTGCCGCGGCTCCCCTAGGGCGGCCGAGGCTCGACGGCAAACCCGGGCCGGGCGAGGGGACACCGGGGCCGTTCGAGCGGCGTTACTCGAGGAGAGAAACCGCCGGAGAAAAACAGGCGCAAGCAGCGCGGCGTCAAGGCTGCGCCTTCTAATCCGAAACGAGGTTCTCCCAGCAACAAACACGTGCCCACGCTGTGCTCAGTGTTCCCTGCCGTGAAATGTGCTCCGCTGAAACGGGACGGGGCCGCCTGTGAGCCTTAGAATGGAAGTTTCAAATCCTGTTTTCCGGAAAGTTTGCAGATAGAGCATGAGGTTAAATTTTTGATTTTCATGATAAGTTTACTATACTGAAATGTTTTCCTTTTATAAAGAGCTTTGAATAAAATGCTGAATGATACGGTTCAAATGAACACCTATTTTCAAAACTAATCTTAAATGGTATTTCAGTGCCTATGTTATGTAAAAGCAATTTATAAGCTATTAACTGTACATTTTAAAAGGCCTTCAAAATACAAGGTACTCGTATTTAATGACTTAGTTTGAATGCTTTTATTCTGGTTCTATAATCTCTCAAGAAATCCTGAAACTGACTATATTTTTCTTTATTAAAATAACATTTTTTCTGTAGAAGATACCCATTTGATCCTGTGATCAGCACCAAATTGAAATTGAATTGAATAACTTGAACAGAATATGAATTCAATATTGAGTTGAAACTGAATATAAATAACCGGATTATCACAAAATGGCTCACGTTAGAAATTGAATATAAATAACTGAATCATTGCAAAATGGCTCACATTAGAAGATACTTAAAACGAGTACAATCTTGTACAATAAACTTTTAACACCAAAAATGAAAAAAAAAAAATACAAAAAATTAGCTGGGCATGGTGGCACGTGCCTGTAATCCCAGCTACTCAGGAGGCTGAGGCAGGAGAATTGCCTGAACCCAGGAGGCGGAGGTTGCGGTGAGCTGAGACCACGCCATTGCACTCCAGCCTGGGTAACAAGAGCGAAACTCTGTCTCCAAAAAAAAAAAAAAAAAAGAGGAGGACCAGGTAATAGTTTTTCTCTTGTCATTACATGTTACAACTGCCACCATCATCAAGGACATAGAATAGTACTTAAAGGATAGAGAAGGAAATGCAGTCTGCAGAGAAGAGGTTTGAAGATTTGCTGTGTTCAGGAAGCCATAACACTGCAACTACATCAGGACTTGTTTAGGAAGGAAGTTCTTTCATTTCTTGTCACCAGGGCTAAAGGTTCCAGGGACTGGACTTAAATTATTTATAGTACAGTTTAGGTAATATATATTGTTGCTCATTATTCCACAGCATTCACTAATGTTTATAAAGACATTTGCTAAATTCTAATAGGTCTGGGGAACAGGAGAACAGCTTCTCTCCTAGATGTAGAGAACCACCATTATTCTGCAGGGTGTGCTCTTCTATGGAATTTGTTCAGTGATGTGGCACAGTGGGGTCAAGTCAAGCACAACCAAAGTTTTTCTCAAAGTTTTATATTCTTTTTAGGGTAAATGTGGAAGCAAAATGTACATCTTTAAACAAAAAAACAGAAAAACATTTCATCCTCATGGATAGAATAAATATCATGAAAATAGGCACACTGCCCAAAATAATTTATAGATGTGATGCTACTCCCATCAAACTACCATTGACGTTCTTCACAGACTAGAAAAAACTATTTGAAATTTCATATGGAATTAAAGAAGATCCCGTACAGCCATGACAATCAGTCCTAAGCAAAAAGAACAAAACTGGAGGCATGATGCTACCCAATTTCAAACTATACTACAAGTCTAAAGTAACTAAAACAGCATGGTACTGGTATCGAAGGAGACATATAGACCAATGGAGCAAAACAGAGACCCCAGAAGTAACAACACATCTACAACCTTCTGATCTTTGACAAAGCTGACAAAAACAAGCAATGGAAAAAGGATCTCCTCTTCAGTAAGACCCCTTCCTTACACCTTCTACAAAAATGAACTCAAGACGGATTAAAGACTTAAATGTAAAACCCAAAACCATAAAAACCCTAAAGAAAACCTAGGCAGTACAATTCAGGACATAGTCATGGGCAAAGACTTCATGACAAAAATGCCAAAAGCAATTGCAGCAAAAGCCAAAATTGATAAATGGGATATAATTAAAGAGCTTCTGCACAGCAAAAGAAACTAATCAAAGTGAACAAGCAACCTATAGAATATTTTTGCAATCTACCCACCTGACAAAGGTCTAATATCCAGAATTTACAAGGAACTTAAACATACTTACAAGAAAAAACAACCCCATCAAAAAGTGGGCAAAGGATATGGACAGATACTTCTCAAAAGAAGATATTTATGTCGCCAACAAACATTTGAAAAAAAAAACTTAACATCACTAATCACAGAAATGCAAATCAAAACCACAATGAATTACCATCTCATGCCAGTCAGAATGGTGATTATTAAAAATTCAGGAAACAATAGATACTGGTGAGGCTGTGGAGAAATAGGAAAGCTTTTGCACTGCTGGTGGGAATGTAAATTAGTTAAACCATTGTGGAAGATAGTATGGTGATTACTCAAGGATCTAGAACCAGAAATAATATTTGACCCAGCAATCCTATTACTGGGTATATACCCAAAGGAATATAAATCGTTCTCATATAAAGACACATGCACACATATGTTTATTACAGCATTATTTGCAATATAAAAGACAGGGAATCAGCCCAGATGCCCATCAGTGATAGACTGGATAAAGAAAATATGATGCATACACACCATGG